AAAGTAACACTCTTTGATTTTACCGTTATAATGACCCTTCCTTTTACCGTTATACCGCTTTCTTAGTCGTGTCATCCTTTGGCGGCAGATCCCTTTTTATGCGCACAACAAATCTACTCATATACGCAGGCGTATTTTATTAACGCATGCGCACAACAAATCTACCCCACCTAGCTATGTATAAAGGCTTCGCACGAGCCGTCGAGCATTCAGTCTGCGTCCGGCCTTATACGATACTTCACTCGTTGCCATACTTGGWGTTTTTCTCGTTCCTTTTACATTTTTAACGTTATTTTATAACAAGTGCGTTTATTAACATGGCTGGTTCAATCGCTGATAACTTAGCTGTATACAAGAAGACCTTCAAATATGTACCGCCAACACCACCAGCCGAACTTCTTGAAGCAACCAATTTCACGCTTGATTTTGTGAGTCGCAAGTTTATCCAAATTGGTATTGACCCGACATATAATTTCAAAGTCGTTTTGCTTATAATAACGCCATCATGGTTCCCAGTAGTATTATATTATATTTTAACATTGTTTTTATGTGTTAACATTTGACAGATATTCAATTCAGGGTTATAGATTACATTGACACGAATAAACAAATTATTCGAGTGATATTTACAATATATACATGGTATTATACAATAAAACAAAATATATACATGGTATTTTACAATAAAACAAAGCTGGTGATAATGGGTTTTGGTGGGCAGCTGGGTGACAGTATTACTGTCATTTCACAGTTTGGATCAGCATAACATGACTAAAATAAAAAATATTTTTTATTAAATATTTCTATGAATATAATATATATATATATATTTTTTTTTAATTACCTCTTGTGATTTTTGCGCCTTCCGATTTTCCCAATTTTCGGCCAACTGTGTAACAGCATATATCTGGATTTGCCTGATAAGATTTGGAGCAGATTTCACGATCCTATCATCCCGATCGAGTTGCATGTTCTTAATGTACAATTTCCTTTCTTCAATATTTTTCGGTGGCGATTTTTCTCGAGAACATTTCTCTTCAAGGTACGCACCAAACTGATTAATTTGTTTTAAAATTAATGGGACTGTATATACATCTTTTCGAACGATGGCTTCAAAAATAGCATATTCTAAACGTTGCAGTTGAAGA